CCTGCTGAAATCATTTTGCCTTTGTGTATAGTATGGAAATGTTGAGTGAGGATATTTGCAGCTGGTGCTGTGGACAGTAGAGAACTATCTGCATGCTTTACTGTTCATTTTCAGACATTTTCATGTAAAAGCTAAATATTTATATAAACACTGATATGATATTGATTGTGGTATGCATAAAAACCCCCTATATCTCCAAAATACTAACATACTTGTTTCCTCAGTAGAGTGAACAAAATATAAGGCAGAGTCAGCTTTAAAGCCAACTCCTTTCAGAGAAGTGTTGGCCAAAACAGGTGTAGAAAGCATTAAAACAAATAGTCCAGCTGCATTTTCATAACACACTGGGGTAGGTCTTAATTTATAGTTTGCAGTGAGCCTTGGCAGTAACTACAGCCAAACATCTCATCTCACAGCTTGTTTGTGCTGAGCTCAGAACTGTCTGTTGGGGTGGCTGAACAGGAAGGGTTTTTGCTGTCTCTGTTTCCTCACTCTTCCATCCATTATTTCCTTCATGTTTAAGTGCTTGGATTTCAGCCTGCCAGACCTGTAATTACACACACCACTTTGGGGTTCAGGTGGCTTTCTCAGACAGCTGCCACAATCACTGTCCTGCCTGCACGTCCTGATCATCTCTACTGCACTACAGATCCTTAGCATTGTTGACAAACTCACTGGATAAAGTCACAGTATCCTGCAAGAAGATTTTGATTGACATTACAGCTTAGGAGGGAGGGTTTGGTGCCCTAGCTTGGGGTGTCAGCATCTTGCAGCAGCATTATGTTTACAGGCTGTAGGTGTATGTTCTCCTGGCCTTCAGCATTCCTCCACTCACTTCATTTGAACTACTTGGGTTTATATCTGCAGATATCAAAGAATACCTTTGGAATATGCCATCTGAATTCCACCCTCAGCATTTCTAGTTCAAAGTGCTGCAACTGTTTCTAAATATAACACCAGCACATTCCAAATTCTCTTTCTTTTCTCATGTTTATTTATAAATGCATGCCAAGAAACTATAGAAAAAGGGAATTTATGCATCATTTATCATTCTGACAAAATTCATCGTGCCTTGGAAAAAGGGTTATTTACATTGCATTCCTCTTCCAAAATTGCTCCTTTCTTTCCTCTCATCTGTCAAAAGGCATAAGAAAATGTATTTCTGCTGTAGAGCTAGCTACTGTAGTAAAAACAACATTTTAAAAGGGTGTTAAATGTTTGCTGGTTCCATCTCTTCTGATTGATTTCTATTTCTTTTCCAGACCTTTGGTGCTGATGATGTTGTGTGCACAAGAATTTATGTAAGAGAGTAAAACCATCAATTTCCTTGTCATCTGGGCTGAAGTGGAGAACTGTGAAAATCCCCAGTCTAAGGAGTATCTGTGTGTGCTGTTCCTAATGCAGTGTCGTATGTGACTGTGTGTGTTATACCTGAACCCAGAGCCTCTGTCAAGTGTATTTTGCTTTCATTTTTCATTGCAGACACTATTCCTTCCCACTTTTATGCCATCATTTTTCATGTCTGCTTTGTATTTTGTAGTTGTCACTTGCTATGGTTTCCTTGGTTATTAAACTTATTGGGCAGAACTCACAGTCGCTTTGGGGTGTTTTGATTGCAAACCCAGCAGTGCTTTGGTTAGGGCTGAAACATTTTTGACCCTCTGCTGAAGTCAGTGTGGGGTTTCACTGCCATTGGCAGGTGCTGTGCTGTCAGGGAACACCTCTTAGGGCAGCACAGAGTGATGGGGAGCAGGGGAATGGCAAGGCTGGTGGTGGAGCCACAGGCTGCTCTCTCAAACCCAGAGCTCTGCTGCTTTCCTTTCTGTCCTCTCCCCTTGGGAGGGTTGTTGAGGAGCAATTCCAGTATTTTGTGATTGCTGGGATTGTGATTCAGCTGAACCAGACAAGACAAGGCAAGATCTTTCCCCTCTTTCCTGCTGTGTCTCTGAAGAATGCCCAGACTTTCCCTGTTGAGACACTCATTATCCAAGTACAAACCCCCAGCTGTATCCACAGGACAAATAACATTGTGATCATGACTAATACTTCTTGTCATCACACCCAAGCACCTCAGGCCTAATCAGACAGCCAGAAGAATCTGTCTGACTTTACTTGTTTGGGCCATAAAAAGTCAAAGCTGAGGAAAAATGCTGCTTTTCTCCTACCTCCTCACCTGTGGCAGAGTTTCCTTCACTCCCTCTCCATACTGCACCTCCCACTTCTGGTGATTCAACATTTCAGTCCTTGAGCCACTAAGTCTTTCACAAATCAGGGCCATAGTTCAAGGAACACCAAACTTAATGTATTTATTCTGGCTCAGATTTCTGGCCACAACACCAGCAAGTATTAGATTCAAGCTGAACAGACATTCCAGTAATGAACCAGAAACTCTTCTGTTCTTCAGCCTTGGAAGTATCTAGAGACTGAGACTAGGAGCACTACTTATTTCAGTATCCAAGCTTATCTGACCAACTTTCAGCTTTGCAAGGATAATTTCTTTTTCATGTCACACAAGGTTTTTAAGAGGCTCAGTATTAGAAGAGTATATGCTGTTCACTGGGTTGTACTTCATGTTCAGAAGATGAAAATAGGCCTAAATCTTGGTTGTCTTGGGACATCCATGGGAAACACATTACTCTTCCCCACTTGCACAGCTCTGCAGAGGAATCCCCTTTGATAGGCTTGTCAAACTGCCATGGAGAAACCAACCAGATGTTCTATATATTGCAGAATGAGCTACAGAAGCACAAGAGGAGAGAAACCTACAGTGTTTTCTGTCTCCTCTGCCCTGGCAGGCCATGCTTTCTTTCTCTGCCATCAGCACTCAAGATACCACATTGCAGCTGAAAAGAGGGTTCTCTTCTTCCACATGCTAACCTTAAGCCAAATTCTGTTTCTAGGACCTTGGTTCCATTGGTACCAATTTAATACAGTGCATGTTCAGCCTGGAGAAGAGAAGACTGAGGGGAGACCTCATGGCAGGAGAGGAAGTGAAGGAGCAGCACTGGCCTCTCTCTGGCAACCAGTGAAAGGACCTGAGGGAATGGCCTGAAGTTGTGTCAGGGAAGATTCAGGTCGGATATTAGGGAAAGGTTCTTTCCCCAGAGGGTGTTTGGGCACTGGAATAGCTCCCCAGGGTAGTGGTCATGGCCCCAAACCTGACAGAGCTCAAGAAACACTTGGACAAAGCTCTCAGGCACATGGTGTGATTCTTGGGGATGTTCTGAGCTGGATTTGGTGATCCTCGTGGCCCCTTCCAGCTCCCAATATTCTGTGATGTTAGCTCACATTGAGGCAAGGGCTGAAATTGGTTCACTGTGGTTTGGATGCAGTTGAAGCCACCCCCCAGTAAGAATGAAGCCATGAGGGGGAATGACAGTGATCTATCTTTATTTTTCATCTTTTACGATTCAAGTTAAAATAGTTCGGTGTTTTGTTCTAAATGAATTCCACTTCAGGAGTATCTGGACCTGCTTGTGCAATCAGAAGTGCCAGAGGGATTCCATGAGAAGCACCAGGCTTTGAGCTAGCTCAGTGCTTCTCAGGGATGAAGACAAAACTGTCTTGCCACATCAAGGCTGAGCAGTAAATAGCACTGTGTTGGCACATGTCATGTCCCACCATACTAGGAGCCCACCAACACCACAGAGTGCTTTGCCTCCACCTCCAGGAAGGTGAGTGGTGGGTGTGGGGGCTGCTACAAGGTCATAAGGCAAGTTTTGCCATTCCAAAACAATCCTCCTCTTAGCAATTAACTTTCCTACCTGTGTCACAAACAGCCCTGATGCCCAGTTTGTGAAGGTTCAGCAAGGTATTGGTATGAACCTCACACTGGGTAAAGCAAGTGAGTGCATTTAATGGAAGCAGTGATTTCTGGGTTTCATTCCTAACAAGGCTCATGCTAAGCTGTTGTGCTGCTCAGGCAAATATCCTTCAGACAACTTTCCCATCAACTGGAAAATACCAAGTCAGGTTTCCATCCAGTTGGCAACTACTATCCAAGTAGTAAAGCATGAGCTGTGTAACTTGCTTGGAGAGGTTATGATGAAAAACAGGCTCTTGAGATATGAACTGCTTTGAATAAGTGGGAGCTTTCTTCTTCCAGGACTGAAACTGTTCCCCTAAGCTTCATTTGCAGTCTGGCATGACAGAAGTTCCTTTCTTTAATAATTCCAGTCTGGAAGCTTCACCACTTGATTGACTTTCGTGGAGTTACATTAAAGTTACTGATGCATGGGTAAATACATATGAACAGAGACTAGAATTGGGCCAGGGTGTTAGTTTTATGGTTCATTGTGGAAACAAAGGCAAAACTGCAATTTTGTGAGTTCTCTTGGATTTAAAAGCTCTTCAAATCTAGGCACACAAGGCTTTGGAGCAAATTTACTGGCCAAAAGCCTTGCAGTTGTCTCCTGCCTTTCTTTTTGTTGCTGAGATTAAGCTCCTTTGGGAACAAGGAAGTTGAATAATGCCAGGGTGGCCAACAGAGACAGTTTTATCCACGTTTTGTGTAAAACATCACGAATTCACCCCTGTACAGATGAGGTGATGGAAGCAGAGTAGAGTTACTGTCGCTTGCATCCACAGACATTTGGTCTCATGATGTCTGAGTGTTAAACAGCTGCTTAGAATAGGGTCCTGAAAGGCTCAGGTGGCCACTGCACATGGGAGGGAGGGAGAGAAGGAAGGAGGAAGGGAGGGAAAGCCTTTTCTAGGCGTGGGGCCAGGACAATGGAGCACCTAAGGGTTACATATATGGTTTGTTGATTGCCTGATAGCATGTGGGTGTCTGAAAAGGGCCCCAGGGGTTTTATGATGTTGTCTTCCAGATTCAAATCAAAGAGATGCTGTCTGCATCACCAGGCCTTTTAATCAGGCAGGGACAGAGCTTGGCTCACAGTTATGTGTGTCAGTGAGCAGGCAGAAACTTCCCCTGGTGCTGCTGTGCTCCAATACTTTGTTGCTTGGCCTGGAAGCACTCTGTGGTTACAAGGACTGGCTGGTGGCAAACATGCTTACTCTGCCTGGGTGATTGACCACGGATTGCACAGATACCCACCATGTCTGCTGTCCTGCAGGTCCCTGTGCTCTACAAGCCAAACTCCTGAGTTCTGCCTGTGCTCAATGCTGATGGCCAAATGACTTTTGGCTTTGTTGCTAAGAACTTTCTGACCATATAAGTGAGTGCATTAGGGAATCTTCTCTGTGAGTTCAGAGCATACTACTATTTGTGTTTGAGAGCATTTCTGCATACAAGGGCAGAGCTCACAGCCCAGAACCTGACTGTGTCCTGGGCTGCATCCAAAGGAGTGTGGCAGCAGGTGAGGAAGGGGATTCTCCCCCTCTACTCTGCTCTTGTGAGGCCCCATCTGGAGTGCTGCACACAGTTCTGGTGTCCTCAACATGAGAAGGACATGGAACTGTTGGAGCAAATCCAGAGGAGGCCACAAAACTGATCCCTACAAGGACAGGCTGAGAGAGTTGGGGCTATTCAGCCTGGAGAAGAGAAGGTTCTGTGGAGACCTCAGAGCAACATGTCAGGATCTGAAGGGGTTCCAGGGAAGCTGCAGAGGGACTCTTGGTTAGGAACTGCTGTGGCAGGACAAGGCACAATGGGGAGAAATTGAAAGATGGAAATTTAGATTAGATATTAGGAAGAAGTTTTTCCCTGTGAGGGTAGGGAGACACTGGCACAGGTTGCCCAGGGAGGCTGTGGCTGCCCCAACCCTGGCAGTGTTCAAAGCCAGGTTGGATGAAGCCTTGAACAACCTGTTCTAGTGGGAGGTGTCTCTGCCCAGGGCAGGGGGTTGGGGCTGGATGATCTCTAAGGTCCATTCCAACCCCTTAACATACTATGATTCTATGATTCTATGCTGAGCAGTGCATGGACCACACTGATAACTAACTGCTACAGCAAGACAGAGAGGGTTATACAGATATCTGCAGCAGCCTGGCACATGCCTAACATTTCACAACAACAAGACTTCCCCACTAGGATGCAGCAGCCATATTCTCTGCCCTGGGACAAGAAGAGTTCATTTTAGGATTTTCCTTTGATTTTTCATACTTTGTTCTTAAGCTGTTTTCATAAAACATTTATTGTTTTTCTTCAGGAAAAAATAAACATCCTAACCAGTAAACAGATCAGGCAGTGAAGTTGGATTCAAAATAATCCACTGTGGGAAACTCAAAATATGAAAAAAACAATCTCAGCCAGAAATGTGCTATTGCACTGGACAGTTCAGCTCACCCATCTCTGTCCCAGCAGCTCCTGTTGTGTGGGGTCAGAGCTGACCCACCACTGTGTGCTGAATGCTCCAGACACCTAGCACTGCTTTAGCTTGAGTGATAAAGAACTATTTCTGCTGTCAGGAAGCTCCAAATCCCACATGCTGCAGAATCCAGTCTTTGAATCCTATTATAATAAGTGCTGTCTGAATACTGCCATGTCAGGAGGGGAACAAGCTGATTCTCCACCACCAGAACCTGTGGCAGACACACAGATCTTTTGCCATGGTCTCAAAACAAAGAGGAGTATGGCAGCTAATCTGTTTTACAAGCTGGAGTTGGATTCACTGTTAGAATTGCTGTAT